CCAAACTGCCTCCCCCCAGGTGGGTCTCTTGGTGCAAAAGAGACAAATACATGCAAATTGAATTACTTCCAAATATCAACTCCCCCTCTCCAGTCTCCAGACACGGCCAACGCCCAAACGGAGACACCTCCGACTTCCCTGCAGCAGCAGCAGCAGCAGCAGCAGCAGCGCAGCAGCAGCAGGTGGGCTGCTTTGGATGTTCCTTTTAACGAATTTGTAATTAAATAATTGCGTAATTCATTAGTTGTTTAACTAATTTAATTAATCAATTCTCGAGTTTTATAGGTCTTGCAAATTCAGAATGCAGTTTCTTTCGAATAGACAAACCTGAATCCAACCAATACAACTATGTAAGTTACTCTAATTAATTTAATTTGATTTAATTAATTTAATTAATTTAATTGAATTAGTTTGATTAATTTAATTTAATTACCTTTTTCGAATTCGGGATGTTCTAGAGAAACCCCCGCAAAGGCGGCGACCAGCCGAATCTTCTTCGCCGCGAATTCATCTTTGGGGCAAAACAGCTTCTGCAAACAAACCCTAAACCCTAAACCCTAAACCCTAATAAATGGCAGTTAAGAGAAAAGGAAGAGAGAAGGGGGGAAGAAAAACGAAAAAAAAGGAAAAAGAAAAAGTTGAATTTGAACGAGCACTTGAGCTGTCTGTACACCCCAACGCCCAGAGGGAAAATGCGGTGTATAGGCAGCTCCGGGCGTCTTTGAGTTTATTAAACGGCGATTTTCGCAGAAATAAATAGAATAATTAAATTAAAAGCAATGTAAACCCTAATTTAGGGTTTTGTGCGTTCAAAAGGACAAAAATTGGGAGCGGGAGGCGGCAGAAACCCCGGGGGGCGAAAACCCGCAAAAGACTTCTTTCACTCTTCTTTAGCGAAATTTAAAAATTAAAAATATTTAAAAATAAGAAAAAGACAAAAGCCCACACAAAGACATTCGCGGGATTGCTGCAATTTAAAGGGTTTCGGGTTTAGGGTTTCGGCATGCAGCCTAGGGCTTAGCGTTTAGGGTTTAGGGTTTAGGGTTTGGGGTTTCCGTGTCCTCACCATTTTCCCAAGAGCAAAAACAAAATAGAAACCTAGGGTTTTAAATTCACCGTCTGAAGTTGTTGCGCACTGAACCAAACCCTAAACCCTAAACCCTAAACCCTAAACCCTGGACCTGCGCGGGTGCGGCGCTGCAGCCCCACAGCGAGACAGCGCGAGCGCAGCAGCAGCAGCAGCAGCAGCAGCAGCAGCAGCAGCTGCAGTAGCACGGGAGTTTGAATACTTTAATTTATTGAACACATTTAATTTAATTTAATTTAATTTTTAATTTAATTTTTTTTTCTTTTAAACAAATTAATTAATATAACTCAACTCCAAACACCCCAGCAGCAAGACACTGCAGCAGCAACTCCCCGTTCGCTGGCTAGCTAGCCACAGCCAACTTTAATGGCTAGCTAGCTAGCCACAGCTAGCTGGGGTGGCTAGCCCACTGGCCAGCTAGCTACGGCTAGCTGCAGGGGCTTGCTGGCTAGCCACAGCTAGCTGTGGGGACTGGCAAGCTAGCTAGCTAGCTAGCTGCAGTGGATGGATAGACAAGTAAAGACAAACGGGATCAGTAGCTAGCTAGCTGTGGCTAGCTGGCCACTGCAGCTAGCTACGGCTAGCTGCAGTGGCTAGCTGCAGTGGCTAGCTAGCCGTGGCTAGCTAGTCAATTACGGCTAGCTTGGCAGCTAGCTGCAGCGGCTGGCTAGCCAGTTCCAGCTAGCTGCAGCGGCTAGCTAGCTAGCTAGCTAACTAGCTATAGCTAGCTGCAGTGGCTAGGTACAGCTAGCTGCAGCAGCTAGCAAGGGTTCGCTGTATTGCCCCACCGCATGTGTATATGTAAAACCCTAAACCCTAAACCCTAAACCCTATGTCCCCAGCAGAAGACATCTTAAACCATAAACCATAAACCCTAAACCCTAAACTCTAAACTCTAAACCACCGCTGCAGCTAGCTGCAGCTAGCTAGCTAGCTGCAGCACGCGTTTTCCCATTCTTTTCTAAGCACAGCGTTTTACTACTGTCAGTTCCTACCAGGATCCCAGCTAAACCCTAAACCCTAAACCCTAAACCCTAAACCCTAAACCCAGCAGTGAAACGTAGAACAACGCCCCTCGAGCTTCGTGACTCTTCATCAAGATTTATTCTCCTTCGCTTTTCTCTTTACCCGCCCTCTTGTCTTCTCTAGGGTTTAGCGTTCAGGGCCTAGGGTTTAGGGTTTGGGGTTTAGGGTTCAGGGTTTAGGGTTTAGGGTTTGCAAGAGGGCCCCACAGGTCCCAACTGGCATAATTATCTCAAGTACTTCAGCAAGCTGCATAAATGCCATTTTCCTGTTTTAGCTTCCAATTTAAAATATAAATAAATGAATAAATAAATAAATAAATAAATAGATAAATAATGAATTAAATAATTAGTTAATAGATTTGGAATCAAATGAAAAGCCGAAGTTGAGAATTAAAGCTGAAGGCTGAAATGGGTTAAGTGGCGATCCGAAGAAAAGGCATGCAGGTGATCGACTGTGCACTTATGACCATTTAAAAGAAAGGAAATTTAAAATTAAAGAATGAAATATAATTAAAAGTGAAAATAAATGAAAATAAAATGAAATAAATGAATTTAAAGACACCCGGCGGGCGAGCCGGCGTGGTACGCTGGGGTGTATGTACACCTCACTCGACTCGCCGCCGCCGTTGCGCCCGCTCAAGACAACGCTAGGGCTGCACTTTTTGCATTATTTGAAAGTGTTATTCAATTTTGGGAATTTAACTCGTTTTTATTTCCATTTTATCCTCCAAAAAAGGTCCATTTCTCCCGAAATCTCCCGCTGCTGCTCCTGCTGCTCCCCGCTGCTGCAGCTGCCGCATCCGCAACAGCAGTTCTGCATCTCCAACGAAAATGGAAAAAGCCCCTTGCGAACAGGGAGCTGCAGCAGCAGCAGCAGCAGCAGCAGCAGCAGATGTAGACGTGGAGTGAGTGCACAAACCGCCTTCTAGCTTCCCTTGTTTCCACAAAGAATCTAGCTGCTGCTGTGTTGCTGCTGCTGCTGTGTTGCTGCTGCTGCGCCTGCTGCACTCTTGCTGCTCCTGCTGCTGCTGGACTCCTGTTGCTGCTGCTGCTGCTACTCCTGCCGCACTCGTGCTGTTGCTGCTGCTGCTGCGCTCCTGTCGCTGCTGCTGCTGCACTCCTGTTGCTGCTGCAACTGCTGCTGCACTCCCGCTGCTGCTGCTGCTTCTCGCACTGCTGCTCCTGCTGCTGCTCGTGCTCCTGCTGCACCCCCGCTGCTGCGCTGCTGCTGCTGCTGCGCTCCTGCTGCTGCTGCTGCTGCAGCACGACGGGTCTGCCGCAGATGACTCTGGAGGCTTTGAAAAGCTGCGACGGCGAAAAGAGCGAAAAGCTGTTTGTGGCTGTTAAGGGACTTGTCTTTGATGTCAGTGTTAATGGCAAAACGTTTTATGGCAAAAATGGCAAGTTTTTAATCATTTTAATCCATTTTTAATCCTTTTAATTCGTTTTAATTCATTTTAAATCAGTTTATTTGTTTAGCTGTTTAATTGCTTTATTATTCTGTGCTTTCCGCTTCAAAGGACTTGTCTTTGATGTCAGTGTTAATGGCAAAACATTTCATGGCAAAAATGGCAAGTTTTTAATCATTTTAATCCATTTTTAGTCCTTTTTTATCTTTTTAATTCATTTTAGTTCATTTTAAATCATTTTATTTGATTTTAATTCATTTTATTTGATTTTATTCATTTTAATTCATTTTATTTGTTTAGTTGTTTAGTTGCTTTATTATTCTGTGCTTTTTGCTTCAAAGCACTTGTCTTTGATGTCAGTGTTAATGGCAAAACATTTTATGGCACAATTATTTCTTTTCACTTTTGTATTTTAAATTGCTTTTATTGTTTTATTTGTTTTAAATTCTTTTAAATTGCTTTATTTGTTTTATTTGTTTTTAATTCTTTTAAATTGCTTTTATTTGCTTTTGTCTGTCTCACTATCTTTAATCTGTTCATTTTTAATTACTTTTAATTATTTCCTTTTTTATTGCAAAAGCTTTCATCTTTTTATTTATATACTTTTCTTTCATTTTTATTTATTATTTATTTATTTAAATATATTTTATGTTTGTTTAATTACCTTTGTTTATTTATATCTACTCGTCATTATGTTTAGTTATTTGTTTGCTTATTTATATGTTTACTATTTACTTTATTTATATCTATTTTTTGTTAATTAATTAATGAAGTAAACTATTTATCTATTTATTTATATTTACTAATTTAGTTAATTAATTAATTCTTTATTCATTTGTTTATTTATCTTCATTTATTTATTCATTTATATTTATTTTTTTATAATTTATTTTCATTTATTTATTTATTTATTTGTTTATTTTATTTATTTATTTTATTTTTATTTATTTTTTATTTATTTATTTATTTATTTATTTATTTATTTATTTCTGTTTAGGTTCTTACCACATTTTTGCTGGGAAAGACGCGACGGTGGCTTTGGCCCGAATGTCATTTGACGAGAAGCTTTTAAATTCTGTAAATAAATAAAATAAATAAATAAAATAAACAAATAAAATAAATAAATAAATAAATAAATAAATATAAATAAAAGTAAATAATTGAAGAAGCCCTGGGGCTTCGTTTTCCCCCGCTGTCGTTACCTTTGCGAACGAGCGCCATTAGGGTTTAGGGTTTGGGGTTTAGGGTTAGGGGTTTAGGGTTTAGGGTATGGGGTTTGGGGTTTAGGGTTTGGGTTTTAGGGTTTGGGGTGTGGAGTTTACGGTTAGAGGGCATAGCTTTTGGGGTACACGGTTTAGGGTTTAGGGTTTAGGGTTTAGGGTTTGGGGTTTAGGGTTTAGGGTTTGTGTGTTGCGTGTGCAGCCGCCAAGCACTTGGGAGTCTTTGACAGAAAGTGAAAAAGAAAGTTTGCAGTCTTGGCTGCAGCGCTTCAAAAGCAAATATTCTCTTGTTGCTGTTGTGGACTTCGAGGAGAAAAAAGACAATTAGCAGCAGCAGCAGCAGCAGCAGCGGCAGCAGCAGCAGCAGCAGCAGCAGCAGCGGCTGCAGCAGCAGGTGTCGGTAGCATTTTGCTGCAGCAGCTCTACTTCTGCGCTGTTGAATGCCGCGAGCCTCTTGAATTAATTTAATTAATTGAATTAAATTAATTCAATTAAATTAATTAAATTAATTAACTAATTAAATTAATTAAATTAAATGAATTAAAACAAGTTTAAAATACTTACCTGCACAGCTGATGCAGCAGCAGCAGCAACGGCAGCAACAAAACAGCAGATTTTAGGCGCTGCTGCTGCAGGTGCAGCAGTTACCGCAGCAGCAGTCTTCGCCAAAGCAACCGCAAGAGCAGCAGCAGCAGCAGCAGCAACAGCAGCAGCAGCAGCAGAAGCAGCAGCACTTGTGGAAGGACGCATTCACGGATTTTGTACAGAAATATGAATTTGTTTTTACATTTTGTATTTATCCACTATTCCCCTGCTGCTGCTGCTGCTGCTGCTTTATTGGAATGCAGCAGCAGCAAAGTGCCGCGGCAGCAGCAGCAAAGTGCCGCGGCAGCAGCAGCAGCAAAATGCCGCAGCAGCAGCGAAGAAGCAAGGGGAGGCAGCAGCAATGAGTTTCTTTTGAGGCATCTGGCTTTTTTGACTTATCAAGTTGTTGAACTTTAATTTAATTTATTTTATTTTAATTTAAATTGAATTTAATTTGATTTAATTAATTTATTTTATTTATATATTTCTTTTTCTTGTTTTGGTCCCACTAGAGTCAGCTCTGCCTCTACAAAAAGGAAATATGTTTTAATTCAATTTTATTTAATTTTGGTCTCCGAAGTAGTAAATATAAATAAAGGTAGAACCAAAACTAAAAAATACATAAGTAGCAGAAAAGGCAGCAGCAGCAGCAGCAGCAGCAGCAAAGAAATTATAGTTAATATTAAACTGGGAGGCGGGTCGACACCAGCCTTCCTGCAGCGGCAGTAGCTGCAGCAGCAGCAGCAGCAGCAGCAGAAGTACTGCAGCAGAGGCAACACTGCAGCAGCAGCAGAATTACTGCAGCAGAAGCAACACTGCAGCAGCAGCAGCAGCAGAAGTACTGCAGCAGCAACACTGCAGCAGCAGCACACTGCAGCAGTGCGGGTTCCTGTGCAAGGGGGTTAAAGCTTTTTCGGGTCTAAAATGACGAATAAAATGAAAAACTAAATAAAATAAATACAAAGAAATACAAAGAATTCGAAATGAATAAAAGAATTAAAGAATTAAATGCTTCACAGAAGCCCCAGAGGCCGCAGCTGTCCAGTGGTTTACCCGGCTGTCTGTACACCCCATTTTAGATCTTCTCTTGTTTCTTTTTCTTTTTTCATTTTCGTTTTTATTTAAAACTAAACTTTTCAAGTTTGCTTCTCACAAAAGCTGAGAATTAACTGCTGCAGCAGCAGCAGCAGCAGCAGCAGCTGCGGCTCATTGTGGAGCCCTGCAGTCGATGTGGAGCTTCATCTTGGATCCTCAAGGACTTATTGTCGATTATTATTTGAAATTAAACTTTATTTGAAGTTTAAAATTTAATTTTAATTTATTTAATGTCACTTTTGAGGACTTATTTCCGAGTGATCCTGCGGCAGCTTCGGGTGTACGTACACCTCACTCAAGCGCAGTGCTTCCGTGCGGCTTCTTTTTGCCTTTTTTCTTCTTCGGCTGTCTCTTCTTCTTTCTTTTCTTTTCTAATTTGCCCTTTTCTATTTTACTCCTCAAACCCTAAACCCTAAACCCTAAACCCTAAAGCCGAAGGCAAATCCGCAGCCACCGTCAGCCGAGCCTTGTCCAAATCAGCTGGCCATCTACACACTCAGGATTTATTTATTTATTTATTTATATTTATTTGTTCATTTATTATTTATTTATTTATTTATTTGTTTATTTATTTATTTCAATTCAAAAGATGACAGAAGATACGGGAAAAGCAGCTCTGAAGAGAGTCCGCGCGCGGCTCTCTTCTTTGGCTGCTTTCAGATCCTCGGCCATAGCCACCAAAATGTGAGGGTTTAGGGTTTAGGGTTTAGGGTTTAGGGCTGGGCAGGGCTTGGAGCGCTAGGGGTGGGGGGTTTCGAGGGTTTAGGGTTTAGGGTTTGCGTTGTTTATGCTGCAACATGAGGGTTTCGGGTATAACTCTTGAGGGCTTAGGGTTTAGGGTTTGAGGTCTCGAGAGTTTCGGGTTTGGAGGCCACGCAGTTGAGGGTTTGTGGCCGAGGGTTTAGGGTTTCGAGGGCTTGCGATTTATAATTTAGGGTGTCGAGGGTTCAGGCTCTAGGGATTGCAACTAGGGTTTAGGGTTTAGGGTTTAGGGTTTAACGTGTTGAGGGTGTAGGGTTTACATTTTGCGCTGCTGAGGGTTTAGGGTTGAGGGTGTGGAGGGTTTCGGGGTTGAGGTGCTGAGGGTTTGCAGCATTATGGCTCCAGGGTTTAGGGCGTCTAGGATTTAGGGTTTGGAATTTAGGGTTTAGGGTTTAGGGTTTAGGGTTTAGGGTTTAGGATGGTTGTTTGCCGAATGCGCTTCCCGAAAAAAACCCCCAAAAACGAGAAAACAAAGCGGCTTCTTTTCTCCCCTTCTTCATTTATTTATTTATTTATTTATTTATTTATTTATTTATTTGTTATTTATTATTTATTATTTATTATTTATTTATTTATTTATTTATTTATTTATTTATTTATTTATTTATATTTAGAGTGGACCCCCGCGACTACGGCTACGCCGAAGACGCTTTTGTGCGTCGCGATTCGCTGCGGACAAATTTGAATTCGGTGAATATAAAATTAAATAAATAAATAAGTGAAATAATTAAATTAAATAATTAATTTAAATAAATAACTAAATTAAATGAATAAATAGATAAATAAATCTGTTTATTTGGTTTTGTTTTTGAAATGGAGCATTTGTAGAAGTTTGATTCTTTTATTTCGACTCTTTAAAGCATTCCCGCGTCGTTTTAGCCCCTATAGGGTTTAGGGTTTAGGGCGTAGGGTTTGCAACTAGGGTTTAGGGTTTAGGGTTTAGGGTTTAGCTTTTGTGGTTTTCGTTTTCAGATTCTGGATTCTGTGGGCGCAAGGGTGAGGTGTACACCTGGGAAAACCCTACAGGCGTTCCCTTCTCCATTATTTCCCTAAACCCGAAACCCTTAACCCTAAACCCTAGTTGTAAACCCTAAACCCTAAACCCTAATTGTACACCCTAGACCCTAAACCCTAATTGCAAACCCTGAACCCTAAACCTTAGACCCTAATCATAATCCCCAAAAGACTACAAACCCGAATTGTAGCCCGTAAACGCTAAACCCTAAACCCTAGGCCCTAAACGCTAAACCCTAAACCCTAATTTGTTGTGTTTCTGCGAGTAAAAGGTGGATTTAAGTGGTTTTTTTTGCATGTGAAGTCCCTAAAAGAATGAAAAGTGTTTCTGAACTTCAGGACCTTCTAAAACCCTCAGAAGAAGGAAAAGAAAGTCTTTTGAAAGCTCCAAAAACAAAAGAAGAAAAAAGATTCAGCAGAGGACTTCTCGGATCCGTCGGACGCTTCAAAAGAACCGCCAGGGCAAGACTTTTATTTTTTATTTATTTTCCTTTTTTTTTCTTTTATTTATTTTTATCAATTCTTTTATTTCTTTTATTTCTTTGTATTATTTCTTTTTATTTCTTTTATCTCTTTTTTTTGTTTCTTCGTATTTCCTTTACTTCTTTGAATTATTTCTTTTATTTCTTTTATTTCTATATATTGTTAATTAATTTATTCTCTTTTTAATTTATTTTCTTATTATTCATTTATTTATTTATTTATTATTTTTTGTTTAGGGAGTTTGCGTGCGGGCTGGAGATCCTCGAGTTGAAGAATATGGAAAAATAAAAGCAGCAGATATAAAACTGACTTATGCTTTATTTCTTTTGGAAGAGAATTTGAGTCATTATAGACATCTCTACAGACAAGTCCTCCAAACCCTAAACCCTAAACCCTAAACCCTAGGCTTCAAACCCTAGGCCTCACGCACTTGTGCATTATTTCTTTTGGAAGAGAATTTGAGTCATTATAGACATCTCTA